TTGATGAAAAGAAAGAAAAATATTATAGTATATAATAGTGCTAATGTGTGGGAGTTTTCATTGTTTACCCCATCTCCTTCCTAGGATTTTATTAATGAGCTGACTATCTTGTGTGTGATAATGTATTACAATGAGTTCCATTTGGTTGTGGGTCAAGATAAACTAGCACAGTGTAATTTAAACAAAATGATGTTTGGTTGGTGAATGGCAGACTCATTTAACACTTGCTTCTCCTTGTATGCACGTTAGCTGCACACACAAGTTGAGTAGACACAGCCTCCCTCCCATCTAGCTTATGGGAGGAGGTAGATGAGCCAGCTGCTCAGCAATGTAATTTGACCTTTGAAAAAAATGAGAATCAAGGTGGCCCCTCAAACGGCCACTCATCACAGACACTCACCACTTGCCTGACAGCCTTTGAATGATAGTGGGTCTTTTCACAGCCACCTGTGATTTCTGAAAAGCTGGGTTGGTATTCACCATCTGGTTACTTCTCAGCAGCAGCTCCATGGGCCAAAGCAGGGCACCGATCTCAGAGAGGCAGCAATCCCCTTCAACAGGCAACCTTCAAAAGGCGGGCAGCACCTTACGCCCACCTGTGTTAACTGTCAGCTGCCCACAAGAGAGAGCACAGTGGTGGGAATGCCCCTGTGATCTCCAGTTTTCATCGCTGGGTAGACAGAAGCTGCTCTTGTGGGCTCAGAGGGATGAATTTCAAGGGTTCTTTGCCTTTGATGTCAACCTTTCACTACCACAAAATGAACACATGCCATCTGTGGTGCAGCAAAGTGTCTAACAGGGGAGCAGGACAGGCTAAAGAAATACATACATAATACATACACATTACAGAATCCAAATGATATTTGCCATTGACACAACATAATCTAGATGAGCCATCTCTCCCCAAAAGATCATTGAGCTCAACTTCTAGAAAATTATAAAGGCTCTTTATTTCTCTTCTTAGCTATTAAAAGTCAGTATTTGAAGGAACAAGCCTAGCTAGTATAGTAGAAGTTTACCACTGGATTCCCTGGGGTAGTTCACTGACTTCTTTCCTGTGTCAAATTTTTCTCTGATTTATCAAATATTTATTCATTCTTTTTTTTCTTCTCTCACATCTCACCTTAAAAGATGCTGAACATGTGGTAGACACTCAATTGATACTTAGTATTTTCTTAATACTTTCTATTTTGATCAATTGCTGCTTAAAATATAATGACTGTCAGATTTGGGGGAAATGAACATGTGAACACACTTTTTGAAAAATGTATCTCATTTCTCATTCTAAACTATTGTGATGGCATTGGACTGGTTATTTGCTACATAGTATATTAGAGCTTAATTTCAGCACAATGAGAAGTAATCTGGATACCATCTGTGTTAAACTCTTCATGATCCTTGCAAATGAAGGACAATAACTAAATAAGATAGAATAGACTTGTTCAGGTTGACAAATACAGACACCAATACATAAATGAAGAAACTTTCCAGAAATACTATGACAAGAGTTTCATGCAGTCCCTGACATGTAAGGGACTCACACGTCCTTACTGCTCTTAAACACAGAAGCACCTCAAGTCCAACACCCAGACCGTCATCTGTAACTTGCATATATTCTTCTACTTTGTTTGTCTTAAATTAAAACCCCTTCTCCACAGTTCTGTGCACCTGCACACGAGCAGCCAGGTGTTCCGTGTTTAAACAACAACCGACTTGTTTGTCTCTGTGTTATACTCACACTCTGTGGATTGAGGGAAGCAGATACACATGCCGTAGGCAAAGCCCACAGCCCAGAACAATAAAAAAGAATAGCGATGAATAAAGACAAATGCTGCAAGTTCTTTTTCCCTGAAAAGGTTAGCAAACTCCATTTCAGCAAACAAAAAGGCAACAGGGGCTGACTGCTCTATGGATTTTATTGACATTTGAAAATAAACTGGATTCACTGCAAAATGATGTAAATATTTAGACACATATATATGAAATATATGTAAACACTGAGTCATCAGAAGTCCTTAGAGTCAATGCATCAATAATAAGATGAAACTATAATCAAAACATTTTGAGAAAGGCATAAACTATTCTTCAGGAACTAAAGCCAATTCAGGAATAAATTGGCCTTTACTCTCCAAAGCTATGTCCTCTACAAGTTGAAGACCTTCTCAAACCCAAAGAACTTAGGAAATCATTTTTGTGAAGACATCTGATACTGTGGTTAAAAAAAAAAGATCTAATCCATGTATGATTCAAATACTCCTCCAGCTTTACCATCCGTGTATGTGTGTGTGTGTGTGTGTGTGTGTGTGTGTCTGTGTGCACATGCACGTGCATGCATGTGTGTGTATGGCACGGGAGGGGAAGGGGAAGATGAGGATAATTAGTGGCTTTTTCTGCCTGATTGTTAAACACCCTAATTACTTCAAGCACCATTACCAACACTTGCACATAAGCCATCCTTTGAAAACATTTTTCAATATAAACTAAAATTGATGCTAATTTTTTCTGAGAATATAGCCAATATTAACACAATTTGGAGAGTTATTGGATTTACCTTTTAATCTTAACAGGGATGTCAGTATTCTAAGTGCACAAAATAGAGATAATCTACTAACCATCTGAAGTGGAACCAACAACTGAACAATCTCCTTAGAAAGATAGCATATTTTTATATACATGAAAAGTATTATAATTATGTATCATTTACCATAGCTTTTATAATTGACTTGCCATTATTTTGATACTAAAATGTCTTCCCATATTCCTTCATGCAAAATTACATTGGAATTATATTGTGAGGTCTTTCTTCCCTCCAGCTTTTGTGCTGGATAGAATCTTTTCCAATTGTTAACTCACCACATCAACATTCTGGCACAGCTTGTGCACACATTTTGCTTTAGTTTCTTTACCATAAATTGACATAATCATGACATTAATAATTTGTTTTTATAACAAAATGTAACGTGGAAACCAGGCACTAGATAAATACTAGTTGAATGAATACATCTTAACATAAACCATTTTGGTGGCATTTAACCAGGATTTTATAAAAAAGCCATTCATAAGAACCATAATATGCAAGAGATAGTGCTTACTAAAGATGCAAGAATGAAAGATTTGGTGTTTGCTCTCAGAACTGGGGTGGGAGGAGAGCGGGAAATGGATACACAATAATACAAGGCAGAATGTGACAAGTACCTAGTGTGTTTCAAAATGATATCAAGGTTCTGGGGAAGATGTATTATCCCTGGTTAGGAGAATCAGAAAGACAAGGTGACCTCTGGGGTACACCTTAAAAGATGAGCAGAAATTCACTGGGCAGAATTGAAGTGTGACCATCCAGAAAGGAAGAATAAGAAAAGTGTGAAGGTAGAGGGAAATGTTCTGGGCCACATGTAGTCAGTTTTGTCATATAGTCACATTTGTCATATAATACATGGGAATAGGGCCTTGAATGCTAAACTGAGAAGTTTTTAATAAATCAGTAGACAATAAGCAGCTAGTGGCAGTTCTGAAACAAGATAGTAACATGAAGATTGGTATGAAAGCAAGGTGTAAAACAAGCTAAAGTTGCATACAGGCATTTAGACACTAATTGGAAAGGAACAAGGCTTCCAGGAGGAAATAAGCAAAAATAAAGGCCTGAATAATGGCAAAGGGGAAACAGACGAGGCTTTACAATCAGAAGGTAGTGCAGAGGCCAAAATAACAGACTCTGGCAACCAACGTGGTACCATTAACAGAAGCAAGAACATCAGGAGAGGGAAAGGAGCTGCTTGAGAGGATGGAGTCTGACACAGGGATGCCCTGTACATACCAAGGGCAGCCCAGCCAGAAGCCCAGCACCCTAAAACATCTCATCCCTCTCCCTGTCAGAGGTCCTAGAAGCAAGATTTTCTCCAGTCAAGCTAGTATGTGCTGCAACTGGCATATTATTTCAAGATATTTTAAAATGTTTCACGTTCTTCCCTCCCATTTTGGTGCACACATGCAAGTGCTCCTCCTTATCTTCTACTCTGTTAGTCTTACCTCTGGTGCCCCCTCCTAATCCAGGGCTGCATTAGCCACCCATGTAAGCACAGGCTTTTCTACAGGCAATTGGTTAGGGTTTGCCAACTGACATAAAACAAACCATTTACATGGAGTCAAGGGATCCATTAAGTGGAAACTTGCGGAGTAGTATGTGCTAGTTAGAGCAAGACAAACAGTACAATTGATACGAAAGTACTTTATTCAAAGGATTTAAGGGGCCCATTTTCCAGGGTCACTTTTGCTGTAATACACAATTGCCCCCAAATAATGCAGGAATCAAAAATTGCCAAAAGGAATGCAGCCAAAACATAGTACAACCACCTCTAGAGATAGAATATTCTGCAGTGACATTCACCTGCCATCTACCTGCCTATTTAATACTCCACTAAAATGTACTTATTATGGTTTTGTTTCTTCAATTATAAAACTCCAGTCCATAAATTTGAGATGTCTTTAAAATACCAAAATACTGTTTACATGTAGAGCAAAAATTGTCTATGGTCTTCTAATAATGACACCACAATGTGGTTGTCTTCTCAAGTCTACCTGGGTATGGATTGCATGCTAAAACTTTGTCTTGACCTAGCAATTGCTCTCTCATTCCTATACTGCATCCATCAATAATCTTTGCTTGTTCTACCTCCCAATCTCCAATCAAATCCAGGCCCTCCACTTCCACCAACACTGCCTTAATTCAGGCTCTTATCTCCCAAACTATTCTAGCAGCCTCCTGTCAAAAACTCCTACCGACTCTTCTTGACCAAGCTCAGATGTCACCTCCACTGGGACTGCTCCCCAGCTCTCCAAGGCATAATTAAAGAATCCCACCTTGCTTTGCCCCAGTAGCTGTTTGTACACACGCCTCTTACAACGCAGGTTACCCTCTCCTGCAGTACTGTTAAATAAAAATATGCAAGCCACATGAGTCATCTTTAATATTCTAGTAGACTCATTAAAAAGGTAAAAAGAAATTGGAGAATTTTAATAATATTTTATTTAACCAGATATAGCCAAAGCAGCTTAAATCATTTCAACATGTAATCAACACAAAAAATACAAGATGTTCTAGTTTCATATTCTTTGAGATTCAATGTGTATTTTATATTTATAGCATGTTTTAATTTTAGACACTAAGTTGTCATCAAAAATAATTGATCTGTATCTATATGTCATAAAATTTACAGAAAAAGGTTTACATACCCAAGTTGTTCCAAATGTACATTAATGTTTTATAATAAATGTATCAAATATCAATTTAAAAAAATTTTTTTGCCCTTTTAGTATTTATTTTTATTTACCAAGGTATAATTGACATACAATACTGTATTAGTTTCAAGTGTATGATATAGTGATTTCACACTTTTATACATTGTGAGATGGTTACCACAATAAGCCTAGTTACCATTTGTCGCCTTGTAAAGTTAATGTTATTGACTATATTCCCCTTGCTGTATACTGTATCAATGTTATTCTAAATAAAAATAAACACTTAAGAATCCATTCCTCAGTCACACTAGTGATATTTCAAGTGCTCAATAGACGCATGAAACTAGTGGCTATTATATTAGACAGTGTGACTCTCAGGCGGTTATTTCTGTTTCATCTGTCTTCTCCACTAAATTTACTTGTATATTCCCCTTGACTAGCATAAGAGTTGGCACATAAATGCTGTTTTACGGAAGTTTGTTGACTAAAGAAAAATGGGTGTGGAAATCCCTTGACTCTCAAGCACATCTTTTATAAGGAATATAAATGGTAATTTTTATGAATACACATGATCATGTGCATGGGCCTGTATGAAAACTAATTAAGACTAAATACATTTGATTTTTTACTGATTCCTTCAATGATAAACATTACTTTATACACAATATTCTCCCTACTTCTGTGCCCTCACCCCTTTCTTCTCCTCTCCTTAACTTATGTGTGGGTATTCTATACAATTAGCACTTCATAATGTGTTTTTATATTCTCTAGTTGTTTTCTCTCTGACTCTCTCCCATTATATTCTAAGCTTCTGGCGATAGAGATCATTCCTTGTCCTTTGTAACTATCATTACACATGGCTTAATGGCAATAACAAAATACAATAATTTAATATGTGACACATAATCAATCCTCAGGTGCCTTCTTTTGCAGAGATACCTTCCCCTACTGATCTTAGAAGCCAGACTCTCAGCACGCACATTCATACCATACCACTCCAGACGGCCCGGACCGGGACCTGCCCCCACATGTGTTTTGCATGTGCAATTGTCCCTCACACCCAAGGGGGGGATGATGTTCCCAATAGTTGCTACAACACCCCACATTTCCTAGTTGCAGGCCCTTGTGTAGGCACTGCTTCCTGTCCCCACTGCCCCCTACAGCAGCCCCCCGACCAGCCACGGGATGCAGCGACGATGAGAAGAGAACTCTGGAAGGACAGAGATGTCTCGTCTTGTGAGTCACGTCTCTCCATTGACAAATAACTGATAAATCAGTGTGCACATCAATTTCCACAAGAGGGATCATAGCAGGTTTATCTTTTATTCAAGTGTTGCTTGAATAAAAACAAAATAAAAATAAACACAAAGATGCCTTGGAGAATCAGTCACAGGGTTCCTCTACGCCTGCGTCAGTGTTCTTCCTCTTTTGTTTGGATAGCTCTTTGATGGCATCTGTCTCTGCAGGAGTGAACTTGGGTGTGAGCAGCACAGTGTCGTAATCAAATTCTTCATCAAGGGAGAAGGGCTGAACTTCATCTCCAAGTATCTGTAAAAGCAACAAAGGAGAAAAGTCATACAATCATTGTAAATAATGATAAAGTTGGAAACATAAACTCCCTATTAATATTAATTAAACTATTTTTAGACTTCAGCACTCTCAGCTGAATAGCTGATTTTAAGTAAAAGAATAAATTCAATTACTCAATATGACCTAATTTAAGCCTCTTAATATGCCCCATTCATACCATCCTGCATCAGAATGAATATCATTAACTAATTCCGCCCACAGCAAGAATCAGAAAGTCTCTCTTGCACACAATCATTACATTTTTACCACTTGTAGTGTTAGGGCTAGAGGCATATGGAAAAACTAAGAGTTATACCAAGATGTGGGAAAATAAAATTCAAGATTTTTATTAACCTTAAATACATGTTCACCATTTACTAAAAAAGACTTGTATCAATAAAACATAATTTTCAAACATAAAAATACTCTGCACTTAATATACCTACTTCCTCAGATAATACATATAATTTCTGGGCCAATACCAGTAGGAATTAAAACATACAGTATCAGCTTACATTGAAAAGTCCAGATCCATTTTCTTACCAAGAATTTTTAAAATATTACAGAATGTATCTATAAGTTGGAATAACCACAAAGATATAGTAATTTTGTATCTTTTTATTCACAGTCTGTGAGTTTAAGAGACTTGCTAAAGGAAGGTAGATTTAAGAAAAGCATATTTTACAATACACAAAAAGAGAATGTCTTTAATCTCATTGTATCACCCCTTCAAAAGTCTCTCTAAAAGCAAATGATGTAGGATACAAGGAAATCATCCAGCACCTCTTTGTAGCTCTACCCTATGTATGGTGATGCTGAAATATGGGAAAACTATGGTTTATGCAAGGATGAAAATAAAAATGCCCTGAAGCTATAATCAACTTCAAATATTTTTGCACAGAGAATTACTCATTGAGTGACTTTTGTAATGTTCTTGAAAATGGAGCAGGTAACACAGAAACAATGTGCTGTTATTAAAGGTGCAAAAAAAAAAAAAGCAAACCACGTGAAAAGGAGGTATCTCCGATCTATCAGTCTCTCTGGCAAGCAGCAACTTTTTAGGTGAGCAGTGCTAATAGCAAACACACAGCCACCTAACATCCTTTCTTAGTACAACCAGGAAGAGAACACATGTCAGAGACTTGCTCTTTTTCCCTTTATTAGACAGTGTCTGTGTGCTGTCCTAATAAAGGTAACGAAGGCAGCTGCTACTGAGCAAGTTTCCCACCATGCCAGCCCCAGTACTAGGAAGCATATGGGCATTAGCAATAATTTTCAAACAACCCCTCTTCTAAGTCTCTGAAAGGTTAAGTAATTTGCCCAAAGCTACATGATTAGTAAGGGAGACGGACAAAATTTGAATACTTCAGCTAAAGCTTCACCTTCTCAAAAACACCGGTAAAAATCAACCTTGAAGTTTTCACTTAGCCAAGTCATAGCTCTTTGGGAGAAAAAATCTTTTCTAAATAAGCTAAACAATTCCAATCGCCTTTAATCATAAAACCGTACTCAAGGCTCCATGTAATATCCTGGCTATCTTTAAAAGAGCAGCTGTACAGAGGAAGACAATCAATCTGGAGAGTGAGTGATCTGTCCGTTCGTTTAGTTACTTTCTGAGATTAAGTTTATCATCACCACAGTCAAAGTGATAGTGGGGTAATCTTAAGACCAGCTCAAATGAAGAGACACATTCACAATGAACCAATATGTTCATTTCCTGAATATAAGCATCCTGTCGTCTCCAAATCCACCCAGTGGTAAGCATGGAGGCTTGCAGGCCCAGCCACAACCCCATCCTGAACTGATTCTAACACACCCTGGCAGAGACAGGGAGGAACCCACCTCTCAGACGATGCATTCAGTCTGATGGGGTTCTTGCTGGCCTTTAACACCAGGTGAAAGGCCTGGCATGCACATGACTACCAGGTTTCAGTCAGTCCGTAGCTATCTGTGCCCGCTGCCCTAGGACTTTGAACCACACCTTGAGGCCTCTAAAACCTGCCTCAACCTGGCTGGCCACTCTCACCAGATGCAGTCACTGCCTTCACCCACCTTCCTCTAATACAGGAATGCAGTTCAAATTAGATAAATCCCGTTGCTGTGCAAAACTCCCATTGATACCACACTATCCTTCTCACTCTCCCTCCACACAACACAAACAAACCCCACAGTCTCACCTCCCTACCATTACATGTACACCCCATAAACACTTACTGAGTGTTTAATATGTGTTAGATCCTGGAAACAGATGGACGAGAAAAGCAAAATCTGTGTCCACAGGTTTCATAACTTCATGGAGAAGACAGAAGTCAATGAATGAATTCAACATCATGTGCCATGCTCTCCCACAGAGGAAGGCAGAAGGGTTAGAGAAGCACAGAGGGGGATGTACTGAAACTTAACTCACTCAGCCAAGTACTGCCACGCTACAGAAAATCCTACTCGCCTTCCCGTCACCATCCCACTTATCACCCACCTTGTCTTAGTGAACAGATCGAGTGAAGCTTGTACATTGGACTTCTAGGCTCTCTGATAAGGGCTTACTCCCACAGCCAACTTAGTTCTCCTAGATATGACTTAGCCCATCAGCATCTTAGACCTATCCTTTCCCCAAGGTCTCAATATAACTTGCAGTCATAAAATCGAACACTGTGGTACTAGAGACATGGAAAGTTATCCTTAAGTGGAAAAATCTTAGTTTCCTTTAAGTTGTTTTATTCATATACTTAAATTCTGCTCTGTTATGGAGCATGACTTCCTTCATCAGTCATTTGGTGTTAACCAAAACAACAGAAAGGAATAAAGTTTTTAGCTAGTCAATAAATAGACGCCAACATGAGAATTATTCATTATAATACACTTAAAGGCATAAAAATATACTTTAAATGGAAATTTCTTCACTTAGAAACTGAGTTATTAATAGCAGCTTTTGTTAGATTAATTCCCTAGGCAGTAAGTTAAATGCTGAAACATAAAAGCAAGAACCCAAGAATAGTAATAATTTCACTTTTGCAATGCCTTAATATGATACTTAAAGACACTAAACCATTGGAGGTATCATTGCAATGTGGCCAGTACATCTGTGACTCAAAAACTCAGAGGAACAGCCTCTTGCAATCATTCATATATTTTCCATTCTTTCCACAGACACTATTAACTCTGCAGTTAATTTAGGTGTGCAGGTATTGTGCTAAGGTGCCAAGGATACAAAGATAAAGACTTGTATGAAATCACAGAGAAATGAGAGAGACACAAAACAAATCATTATAGCAAAATGTAGTACATACAAATAGTAAGTAGAGTTAGGGGGTGATGGTAATAGAGAAGAGACATGTAACCCAGCCCAGTTTGGAAGGCATTAGGAAGGAATCAGAGAAGGCTCCTTGGAAGAGGTACTACCTAAGCAGAATCTTAAAGGATAATATTAATTAACAAGGTTAAGGGAAGAAGAGCTTTGCAGACAAAGACAGTTCTCATGAGCAAGCCAAGGAAATAAGATTCAGAATTTCATGTGTGTCGAGTTGTAAGTGGTTTGGTGCTGTCAGAGCATAATAAATAAGAGTGTCAAGAGACAGAAATGGTGCCAAATCATGACAGGTCTTATATGCTGTTTATCCTAGAGATGATGAAAAGTCACTGAAAGATTATTCAGAAGCTTGGTAGATACTTGGTTATCTGTGCATTTCAGATAAATTCCTCAGTCTTTCAAATCGTAACTAAGCACCTACAATATGACAGGGGCTGAAGATACAGGTGTGTACAAAACAGAAAGAAGCCCTACATCTAGAGAGGTCTCTTTGAAGATTAAAAAGAGGCAGATTTGGAGTCAGGAGACTAGTCTGGAGCCTGCTGAAGCAATCCAGGAAAGAAAAAATGAGAACAGGACACTGAGCACAGAGTTTTAATTGCACTTGATGACTGCCTGGGATATGGAAAAGGAAGAAGGGCAAGAATGCAGGAAGGGAAGCAGGTAAAGATAAGCTCAGCATTTAACATGTTGATTTGAAGGTACCTAAAGGAATCCAGACAGAGATGTCAACAGGCAATTGAACACACAAACCTGAAGTTCAGAAAAAGGTCTGAAGCAAGATTTACAGATTTGGAGATAAGCTTAAAAAGGAGTAACCTATAGACGGAAACACATCCAAGGATGTGCATGGGAAGAGCCATAGGTTTAGCATGGAACCCTAAGGGATACAAGCTTATAGGAGCAGATGGAGGGAGGCAGGCAAAGAACAATCAGAGAAATATACAAAGACTGAGGAGAGCAGCAAAGTGTGAACCAGGGGACTACAGTGTCAGGGAAGATCAGTGGTGAGAAACACAGTAGGGAGAAGCATTAAAATAAAGACTGAGAAGTATCCATTAGGATTTGGTAATCATAAAGGAATCAGTACCTTTTGTCTGAATATGTCCAAGCAGGTATCTGAAGCCAAGGACATTCTGCAGTATACTGAATGAGGAATAAGGAGAAAGGAAGCAGAGTCAACTGGTAGCGTCAAGTCTAATAGTTTCTGAAATCTAGCTGAAAAGAGAGAAAAGAACAGGCAGTAGCCAGAGAAGGCCCAAGGTGAAGGAGCGGTTGTTTTCTCTTTTGTTTTATTTCTTAAGAATGGGAGAGGCTTGCGCATAAATACATGTTGAGAGGACTCAGGAAACTGCTAGTATCCTTAAAATTGCTCATGTGACTTATTCTAAGGGAATGTTACTCTCTCATTGTTACAGGAGGAATCATTTTCATTCAAAGTACCACACAGGCAAATTAAAGAAAATAGAACTAATGCTCAAATCAATAGCAGTGTTTAGCTGTAGGCTATCTTACAAAATAATATGGTAAATAAACTATCTTTATAGATGAAAAATTTTAGAGTCCCATTATGGAAAGTAGGAAAAACAGGAGATCTCCCATTAAAATACTACCGAAGTTTCTTTTATGACCTTTTCTATGGTTGGATTGGGGGAGGAACTCATAACTTTCCCATACTCCTAATATGAATTCTTTTTGCTGTAGAAAGCTGTTCAAAAGTTCTAAAATTCATTAACAGAGAAGAAAAGAATGACTCTAACAATGTTATTATACCAGAAAATCACCCCCAGTATTAGGGAGGTTTTTTTTGTTGATTTATTTGTTCATTCCATATTTATCGCATGTCTCCTATATGCAAAGCACTGAACTTGGCACTAGTTCTGACTTCTTCTCATTTTAATTATAGTAAGCTAATGAAGACACATCAGTGAATTTAGAGTCTTCCTAGACAAGGGGCACATATGTAATAATTCAAAGTGAAACTAGATGTACACTGCAGATCAGAAGACATCACTGTGAGCTTTGAAATGACAGCTTTTAAAATATAGTGAAGTTGCGATTCTATTTATGTATTTCAGCTGTTGGCTACTGTGGCACACACTGGGAATTTTCTTCCTTCAAGTAAAATTCATTTTAGGGTTCTAAGGTATAAGACTCCAAGGTTTTTAGATTACAAACTGAAATTCTGATTTATTTCAAAGAGAAGAATTTGTGCAGTGAAACACCAAATCCCCTGCTACTAAACAGAAAACAACTGTGAATTAAGTTATTAACTTGTTATTTTTGCCTAAGGAGCTGAGAGAAATACATACATTTCAGGTGTCTAATTTCAAATCTAATTGAAATCTTTTTGTAGTCTCTCAGGGAATAGAATATGTATACTACTAGAAAACAGCTAGTTTCCTTAAAATTGCTCATGTGACTTATTCTAAAAGAATGTTACTCTCTCATTGTACAGGAGGAATCATTTTCATTCATAGTACCACACAGGCAAATTAAAGAAAACAGAACTAATGCTCAAATCAATAGCAGTGTTTAGCTGTAGGCTATTTTAACAATATGGTAAATAAACTATCTTTATAGGTGAACATTTTTAGAGTCCCATTATGGAAAATAGGAAAAACAGGAGATCTCCCATTAAAATACTACAGAAGTTTCTTTTATGACCTTTTCTATGGTTGGGTTGGGGGAGGAACTCACAACTTTCCCATATTCCTAATATGAATTCTTTTTGCTGTAGAAAGCTGTTCAAAAATTCTAAAATGTGGCAAGAAATTATTCACAAATGGAGAGTAGAAGGTTTCTGAAAAACGTTTAACTCTAAGGAAGAAATGTACATGTATGAAACTATAATAAAATTAGGGGAAAAAATTAAATTGGTCCGTCCATACCAGGAAGTTAAAGATTCTTATTAGGCAATTAAGAGTGAATCAGTACATCCAGGATACATTTTCATCTTTTGATATTGAAGTCACAGAAAGAAATTACCATCTCTGGCCACAAAGAGCCCTTTGGTAGGTCCTTACAGGACATATTTTCTAGAAATGGATGATCATGTTCTTTCACTGGCACTGTATACTGTAAAATGAGATTAATGCTATTAAACAAGGCAGAGTTGGTACAGTGTTGTGATTCTAACAGTTCTAAAACAGTTCTATAAACAAATAGTGGTTAGAGATAAAAATCCCAACAAAGATACTAGTATGGATATTCAGAAAACAGCAAAAGTTATTTATCTATGTCTCATGAGTTTGCCAACACAAAATTTGTCATATCACTTTGATTTCAACATTTTAAAAATGTTCACATTTTCTGGGAATAAATTTATATTAATTTTAAAGATACAATCATATACAGGGTTTTAACTTGCATTTTACTGACTATATGACAGATTCCAGAAACCACTCAGTTTTTTTTCTAACCGATCAACTGAAACCATTTTATAACAATTTCTATAATGGCACTAAGTGCCATGACCACTGGCTGGTCTGGTAATGTGTATGGTCACAACTGAAGTCAAGAACACGAACAAGTCTTTAAAAGAAACTGATTCCTCCTAGAAATAACCTTGCAATTTTAGTTTCTTACTACTTAGAGAAAGCAATCTATAATTCAAAAAGCACCTGGAAAAGTGGCTGTCCCTACCAGTTTATCTAGTAACCAGTTTGGTTTAAGCCTGCAGGCATCCTATATTCTTTTGTGATGTTGATGAGCAAAAGTCCTATGAGAAAGGGGCAATTTAAAACTGAAATGTGTGGATTATTTCAGATTGAACTACTGCTTCCCTAACAGAGTATCTTCAAGTGACAAGACTAGTTAGTACCTGAATGATTAAATAATCAAGAAACGCCATAGGAGTTTTAATAGGAAGCAGTAATAAAGTCCTCTACAACTTCTTATGTCTTCCCTTTTATGTCATAGTAAAGAGGGCAATGAAGATGACTACCCAGCACCCTCAGCAGCCTTGGTTAGTACAGAGTAGCTGATGCATGGAAGAGTTTCAAATGATGTCAAAAGAGGACTTTCAAGTTGTATATTCAGGGGTAAACATGTGGCAGAGATTCTACTCTCCCCAGCTTATGAAGCACATGGCTCCATGACATTTCCCAGCCCCCCTATGGCTGGATAGGAGCATGTGACCGAGTGGTTGCCAGTGGAATGGTAGCAGAAACGAGGAGTCCTGAGTCCTGAGCCTGTGGAGCATGCTGCACCCATGCTCTCATCCCGCCTCTTCAGCTAGGACGGTGGCCTCACTTGGAACATGCACATGAGGACAATATCCTAAAGCATAGCACAGATCCAGAGAGAAGGAACCTAGGTCCCTGATAGGCCCCAAAACAGAGCCACTTACTTACTTTAAAGGCTCTCACAGATTCTTAACTGAGAGAAATAAACTTCTATCTCCTTTCAGCCACTGAATTATTGTTGGAATTCTCTACTATAGCAGCCTGTCCTTGCCTTAACTAATAAGATGTTTACAGGACCTTGGAAGCAATAATAAAGAGAAAAATGGCCAGTTCAAACTGAAAGAGAAGAAATTGCCTGTCCTTTCAATCGCATAGTGCCCAGGCGGCGCTGTCCTGTAGCATGGCGTGTATCATGAAACCAAAATAGCTTCCACATAAAAAACAGATGTGCTCTCTGTGTTTAGATGAAATATACACAGTAGAGATAGATGGCAGTGAGAGAGACCAAATAAAACAACTTGAATTCTGAATTTTCCCAAATCTGAGAAAAACACAAAAGCACACAGGTATAGCAACATGTCTGCAAAAGGACAAGTTACAAAATCAAGGCATTTCAAGACAGACTGTTTCGTGGGGAGTACCTTGTCCATTTGTTTGCCTGCTCCGTTTGCAGCATGCCTTGGCTTGACTCCAGGCGTAACAGGCTGGGCCACGGAAGGAACGTAGGAAGGCACACGGGCACTTACTTGCTGTTCCACTTCTCCCGGAAGCAGCAGCCAACCTGCTGGATACGAAATACTTCACTTGATCTTTTCACCAAGTTCACAAATGACCTACATCATCTAAAAGCCTGTAATAGTCAAAATAATGAAGCAAATATACTTGAGTAAAGTAAGTCCATTTCATAATGCTTGTCTCATTCGGGAGCTTGACTCCAGGGGTTCCCCCTTCTATAAAATAGCAGCCATTCTCACATTCATTTTTATGCTACTGTTGCAAAGTTACATTCCATCCAAAGGTGTGAGAGAAGTGTTTTCTGGGGAATGTCTTGATCACCCCTCACTCCCAGCCAAATTTCTACTTCTATAGGAAAATAAGGCAAGAAGATTCTACTTTTGACTCATTTTCTTATATTTTCCTGAGGAGTGGAGAGAAAGGAAATGGAATGCTGATTTCATTCTGTAACAACATGGCAATATTTCAAAAAAATTTGTATTAAATAATGATGTCATAAGGAAAGCATTTTAACTTTCAACAGAAAAATTAAATACTCTGTCATATTCAGAATGCATGGTCTAATTTTCAACACATTCAAACAACATGTTTCTGGCTTATTAAGCACAACTACAGAAATTTAACAGCTAGTCTTGGTTTTCTGATCAATCTATTATAAGTGGATATGTTTCCTTATTTATGCATGTGTGGCAGAACGTGGACGCATCACAGACAACCAATGATCTTCCATAGCTTTAAGGGGAACAAAAAACAAACAAATGAACAAAGAAGCACAGCAGGTTTCCTCCTCAGTCTCGGTTTTCACAAGACCAGACAGGCTGCTTCAGCTAGCCAATAACCTGCAGCTGGCTCAGGATGATGCTGCCTGCTCCTCAGTGAGGATCCTAATGAAGACACTAATTAAGTTCTCAGTGGAAGTGATTAATTAACAGGCATGCCTTGGCTGTTACTAGTGGCAGCTTATATAGGGAGATAATTAAGCGGGTATTGATATATATTCAAAAACTGAAACTTATTTGAAATACATCTCTCACCATTGCAAATATCACCTTCACAAAAACATAATTATGAAATTCTTAAGACTCCAGCAAAAGAGAACATACACAGCCTAGAAACTAAGTGTGGGTGGTGAGGGGAGGTGAAGAAAGTAGTTCTACCTTGATTACTTATTGAAACCTTAAAATATGACCTAATTAATTAGCAGAAATAAAAACAATAATAATAGAAAACATTTACAAGCGGACAGCTTATATGCATTAATTCAGCTAATCCTCCCAACAGCTCTATTACTTCCTGTTTTATAGACGGTGAGCTCTAAGCGCTGAGAGTAACCTCATTCAACGTGCTACAGCTAAAATGTGGCACAGCTGGGCAGTCTGTCTACACAGCCCATGCTCTTAGCCCATGATGTCACATTATGAACTTCTTTTAAATAAGCATTTTCATTATATATATACATATATTATTTAAATCTATCAGATTACACATCCAAACTCACGGCCAAGAAATGTCACTACTGCAGCACATTAGTTTAGTTAGTCATTGTCCTGTACACTAAAACATTTTATACCCAGAGAAATAATATTTTTGAACTCAGTAAGGTTGTTGGAAACACTGGCTTTCTAATTCATCTATGAATTCAAAGCCAGATTCCCTCACTGGGCTCCCTGCTGTAACTGCCTCAGACTGGTATCAGCCTATTTAGGGGTCTGCCAATAAGAAAGACAAGAAGAGAAAAAGGCTCAGGCTTCTTAATGTGAAAACCAATATCTAGCAACCCATTGGCTGCCAGTGCAAACATCAGTTCAAATGTGAAATCAAAATCAATTCCGCTTTCAAAGCTATTTAAAATCTGATTGACAGTACTATGCACTGAGGACAACTCTGCAATTCTCTTGCTGAAATTCTTCACCTCTTTTATATATTTGCAATGAATGTAACATTTTTCAACAAAAATGGTTTCATAAAAACAAACTCTACTGCCATCAGAACAATTCCTTCAAAACAGTAAGACTTAGGGTAAGTCTTTAAATTCTTGTCATTTATTTCTTCAGTGTAAAAGCAAAACGCACACACGCATTATCTATTGGCCAACACAGCACCTTACACATAAATTCTCAACAAATACTTTCAGATAAGAAATGAATTTCCTACATCACAACTTTTAAACTGAATAGGAAGTATCAAGAATGTATCTACCAACAAGACATTGTGGATGGTGTAAATGTATAGTCCTTATCCCCAAAAACTGAATTTTGTTACAGGGATAAGATTCTCACACATAAAATCAATCATAGAATGATCAAGAACAAAACTGAATAGCTTTAATTCTAAAGAGGACAGATTTATATAAAAGTGAAACCAGTATATACAGGAATAGACTAATAAGACATGTCATGAAGAAAGTTACCTTCTCTTTCAGCCATTTTACAGTCTTGGGTTAGTTTTTTATGTCTCATATCCCCTCTGGGGAAAATTATTGTATTTATGATGGTGAGAATTGGAATTTCTGAAGTCCTCTGTAAAACTTTCTAAAACAGAAATGCTTTAAGACACTTAATCTGATCATTAATTGTAGTTTCTGAAATGACCAAAGGCCTTGTTTTCATCTTAACTAAATATCACCATATTGGTTGATGTGTTCTACAGAGTCAAGGCAACTCTCAAAAATGAATTTTGAGGTTGAAGGGCCAGTGTGTTTTTTTTACACACAGCAGCATAACTCTTTCCAGGTTCCCAGACCTAATTCCAGTGCGTGTGGCAGGGAAGGGGTCTTCCCATGCACAACCAAGGAATTCTCAAACACCAGCAGGGCATCCGGAACTCAGCTCAATTCTGACGCTATCTGCCAGGAGACAGCACCAGATTCCCCAGGTTAAGGACTCCGTCCTACAAGACTGACCTCCACCCCCACTTTAAATGCCAGTCGCAAGCCCCAGGCAGTTACCTGGGCTTCTGACCAACAGGTTACAGATTGAAGGTTCCAGTGATCTCTCCCTTAGGTTCGATTAGTTTACTACAGTAGCTCACAGAACTCAGGAAAACACTTTTAGTGTTTTTTTTTTACCAGTTTAGTAAGGGATCCATAAAGGACGCAAGTTAACAGCCAGATGAAAAGAAACATAGGGCAAAGTACCAAATAAAGGAGCTTCTATCTGCAAAGCTTGGGGACTGGTTCGGTGGCATGTGGATGTGTTCTAGCTCCCCAAGCATGGAAGCTCTCTTAGAGAAGCAGGATGCAAGAGAGAAATATGCTACTCTCATGGGTTTTTGTGAGGGCTTCACAGAGTAGTCATGATTGACTAAATCACTGGCCATTGGCTGATTCAACCCCCAGCCCCTGTGCTTGGGTGGGATCCAAAAAGTCTCTCATTAACATGACAAGACATACATTTCACCTTTAAGGCTCTTAAGTGTTTTCAGGAACTGTGGATGAAAAACGGATATACCTGGGAAATATATATTTGGTCATCTTAATAATCAAATATGTATTTCTTATAACTCACCTTCCAGCAAGACCAGCTGAAAATATTCCATTCTCTTCTTTCTCAACTACATAAGAATTTCTAATATTTATAAACTATGTGTTAATGACATTTGTCTTTCTGTATTTAGTCATTTATCAGCAAGTCAAAAGCTATAATCCTATAATCGAATGCTGCATTAAAAAGTGATCTACCTGACATTTGGTAATTTAAACAACAATAATATTTCATCTTTCTGGCATATTTATAAAACTAACCTATCTGTTCCTTTGTTGCCATGTAGAAATGGCCAAAACTTCCTGAAATTTTGGGCAACCCTCCAAGACTAAAAATATATATAGATAATAAATGCTTTAGTAATCCAGACCTCTTCTTCCTATAACTTCCAGCTGTGGTAGTCCATCTCAATGATTTTTGCTCTTAAAAATTTTTGAAGATTCCAAAGAGCTTTTGTTTATGTTGGTTATATTTACCAATATTTACCCCAGTAGAATTAAAACTGACAAATCTTCAAATAATGTTTATTAAATCATTAAAACGTAATACCACTATAGTAAAATAAATATTTTAATGAAAAAAAATCTATTTCCAAAAACAAATAGTGAGGAGAGAAGCACTGTTTTACATTTTTTTTAAAGTTTAATGTCTGCCTTAAGAAAGCTTGATTCCATATTAGCTTCTGCATTCAATCTTTGGAATCTGTTGTTTCAACTGAAGTAAATGAAGAAAATCTAGTCTCACACAGATATGTGGTTGCAAAGCCAAGAGTACATTAATAGTCATTTTATATAATTGTAGTTGTTCTTTGATACTATGCCAGATTTGACAAAATGATAGGTTTAAAAATAGTTTCAATGTACAATCTGAAACCATTTAAGTGAATTTTTCATACTGTTATATTAAAATTAATTGGTTTATCTTACACCCTGAATGGACCTTCCTCCTATGCATGATTTTGTAACATCATAAATTGGTCATTTGGAAAATATTAGTTCACTGTTTTATGTAGATCTTCCAAATGTTGACATATTTCATTACGCAGTATAAAAATAACATTAGCTAACACCACCAATTTTATCAGAAAAGCCTTTAAATATTGGGAAGCTGTCAAGCTCACAGTACTGGATACAAGTTTTCCAAAAATCCAATTTGCACATGATCCATTGCCAATTTTATCATTGGCAATGAATCAACTATTAGTTGTTTGCCTGGAAGAGACAGGCTCACTTCATGCATTTTTGAAAATTATAGTTTGTCTGTCAGTCATTCTTTCAAGTAAAACTGTTACTCCATGAGAGAAAGAAAGAAAAAAACTAGTTCAGCATACACTCGGTCACACAAATGTTTTTCTATGACACAACTACTGTATTTCAGGATGTAGCAGAAAAGCTCTATGCATACTTATTATTTCAGCACACAAAACATTTTAAAAGGTGCCATCAAGGACCAATAATTAATAATATTAATTTTTACCACCTCATCAAGGACATTTTCAATAGAAACTAGCCTTTGTTTTAACTATAAATTCATGAAAGTGAAAATGACACTGATTACTAATATGGTT